TACTGAGTCAGGAATTTTTGCTTTGAGAAAGGGTATTAATATTAATATTAATAGTATTGTTATTAAATTAATTTTGTATACCGTCCTATACAATGAGGTCTCAGGGCAGTTCACAACATCAAGTTACAATATAAAAAACACAGAATGCATAAAAAGAATAATTCAAAAAGTTAACAATACTAGTTATTTGTTGTTTAGTTGTGTCTGACTCTTCGTGACCCCATGGACCAGAGCACACCAGGCACTCTTGTCTTCCACTGCCTCCCGCAGTTTGGTCAACCTCATGTTTGTAGCTTCGAGAACACTGTCCAACCATCTCGTCCTCTGTCGTCCCCTTCTCCTTGTGCCCTCCATCTTTCCCAACATCAGGGTCTTTTCCAGGGAGTCTTCTCTTCTCATGAGGTGGCCAAAGTATTGGAGCCTCAACTTCACGATCTGTCCTTCCAGTGAGCACTCAGGGCTGATTTCCTTCATAATGGAGAGGTTTGATCTTCTTGCAGTCCATGGGACTCTCAAGAGTCTCCTCCAGCACCATAATTCAAAAGCATCCATTCTTCAGCGATCAGCCTTCTTTATGGTCCAGCTCTCACTCTAGTTATTACAAACTAAGAAAAAAATACATTCCCCAGCAAAAGCCCCTAAACAAAAGCCCCAACCAAAAATAAAATCTAGAACACATAGAATTGGGAAAACGAAAAGGAAAGAGGAGAAAAGAACAAGAACAAATAACAAAGAGAAGAGAGAAAACAGAAAGATAAGGAGCATTATTGTGTTCAATCACATGCAAAGAAGAGAATCTTCCCAGCTCTCACCTGGAGAAGCTTTACATTTCTGCAGTATTGCAACTTAAGTTCCCCCAGCACCTTCAGTGACATGAGTGTACTGTGGCTCAGTTGTAAACAATGTGTGTGAGGAACGGGTGCTTAGCTTAGAAATGAACACTCTGCTGCAATAAAGGAGCAACAGGCAGCATTACTTTCACCACATGTTCAACAGGAAACATTAACTTCAAGTCAATACTGCAAAAGAAAACCAGCCAAGCCCGAGATGCCCATCTCCTTTGAAATTCAAAGAGCAGCGCTCAGCCACGTCCTTGTGTGACCTCAGTCTGGAAGAACAACCCAAGACCAGCACTGAGCTGATCGATGGAGAGAACAAACCACGTGAAAGAAGGAGGTTTCGGGGACTGGTGCTCTGAGAGCATGGGGGTGGAGTATATGTCCGAGTAGAGCATCGTTTGGGCAAGAACTCTGCACCCACCTGGAGCAGCATGTGTCTGATGGCAAAGCCCCACACCTCCTCTTTCTCTTTCCTCCTCATCACTCTGAACACCTAGACTGGGCATTTAGCTCTCAGGCACTTACACACCGGCTCTACCAGAGCTCTTTGGATTTTCTGACCTGTTAGAATCAGTTTTGAGGACGGATGCAAAATCTGTGACTTAGAATTTAGACACACTACTAGCTCCACCCCTTCCAACCCACAATGCCTTAGGAGAATATGGCGCTTGCTGTGATGTCACAGTGGTCCGCATTTCCTAGCCCCGCCTCTCTTTGGCCAACCAGGGTGGGGAACGTTTCTTTTATTTTCTGACCTGTAGCATATAAATGTGGCGCTGTTAACTTTGCCTCTCTGCTCTACCCCCCCCCCACTGCCATATAAGAGTCTCACTAGTTTCCCCTTTTCGTAAGTTGGGCTTTATGCAAAACTAAGTGTTGGGATTAAAATAGTTGATGGGAGAACCAACACTAAAGCATGCTTAATGAAGTTGAAAGGCTATAATCAACTGAATTCACAGCTTTACTTGGACTGTACTTTTTCACTGAAATACATGTAGTTATTTTAAGACATGAAAATTGAATAGCATACTTTTTTGGTGGGGGGATAGAGGAGCAGGCGGAATGAAGGCACTGAAAACAGCAACATACTCATTTAAGCATACCCAAACAGCCATGGCGTTGGATGCCTTCATTATGTTTCACTGGTGCTGCATCCATTCATTATGCTCCATCCATTCATTATGCTAATTTTAATGGACAATGTATTTTGAGAAATGGATTCCCTTCCCCGCACCCCTGGAAACTTTGTTGTTGTTGTTTAGTCGTTTAGTCGTGTCCGACTCTTCGTGACCCTATGGACCAGAGCACGCCAGGCACTTCTGGTCAAACTCATGCTGATAGCTTCGAGAACACCGTCCAACTATCTCGTCCTCTGTCGTCCCCTTCTTCTTGTGCCCTCTATCTTTCCCAACATCAGGGTCTTTTCCAGGGAGTCTTCTCTTCTCATGAGGTGGCCAAAGTATTGGAGCCTCAGCTTCACAATCTGTCCTTCCAGTGAGCACTCAGGGCTGATTTCCTTCAGAATGGATAGGTTTGATCTTCTTGAAGTCCATGGGACTCTCAAGAGTCTCCTCCAGCACCATAATTCAAAAGCATCAATTCTTTGGCAATCAGCCTTCTTTATGGTCCAGCTTTCACTTCCATACATCACTACTGGGAAAACCATAGCTTTTACTAAACGGACCTTTGAAACTATCTCAGCAGAAAACATCCAGCCCACATCACTGCTTAAGACCGGTGTATCTAATCCACAGCCTCCAAGCCATTTTTTTCCCTGCCCCACCCCAAGGCTAACTGGTTCTGGCAGCAGCAAATAAAGTAAGAGCAGGCAATGACTTTTTAAGGAGAGTCTGATACGTGCACGACTGCACACATGTGCATTGCGCCAAACTGAGAAATGACCAAATAAATAAAAAATATCACAGAGGTGTTACAGGCTGTTTGCAGGCTTTTTCAATGAGTGTTCCAATTATACATGATTTCATGCAAGCCTGTGGTCCCTCAGAACGTAACCCCCCACACAAAGCAGTTGCTGCCTGTAGATACACATTTGGCTGAGGAAAGAAGTTTAAATCTCTCCATCCAGTCAAACACTCTGTGGAGGGTTTGTTTGCTTGGTCTTTTTTTTTTTTTTTTGGCAAATCACCCCCTTCCTGGACTTTCAATTGATCATTTGATGATCAATGAAGAGGTGATAATCCCCTTCATCAATTGGTCCACACAGATCACATGGGGCAGGGGGCTGTGTGCCTTTATGTAAGAGAGAGTGGAGGGGTGACCACACCCAACTTTGGTATGCAGCCCTCAAAGAATTGGACCAGGTTAGACATTCCTGGCTCAAGGGTAGAGAGCTAATTCAACAGTGTCTGAATATAAAAAAGTTGGACCATTAAAAAACCAAGTGGAAGGCGACCCTACTGCGAATCAAAGAATTGGGCCCTCTCTCCAAGCCAAGCCAGAAGGAAAGCACAACTAAACAGAACACCCCTCCTCCTAATCCTGAACTCAGTAAGTTAGTGCCAATAGAATTATAGCCAAAATGAAGTCAATGAGAAACAAGAATGAGGAACCCAGTGAGAACTGGATATGCTCACTTGCCCCATAGTTTTGAGTAACTGGGAAGGGGTGTGGAAATGGAACGGACTGTACTGGAACTGAACAGAGCTTCCCAGTTGGGACACTGGAAAGGAGCTATCTGCACTGCTTAATGTTGGTCCCTGCATTGACAGCAGTGGCCGGCCGGTGACTTATTGGTGGGATTTGCTTGTTTCTTTAATGAAGATTGGGATGCGGGTGGCGCTGTGGTCTAAACCACTGAGCCTAGGGCTTGCCAATCAGAAGGTTGGCGGTTTGAATCCCCGTGACGGGGTGAGCTCCCATTGTTTGGTCCCAGCTCCTGCCCACCTAGCAGTTTGAAAGCATGTCAAAGTGCAAGTAGATAAATAGGTACCACTCTGGCAGGAAGGTAAACGGCGTTTCCGTGCGCTGCTCTGGTTCGCCAGAAGCGGCTTAGTCATGCTGGCCACATGACCCGGAAGCTGTCTGCGGACAAACGCCGGCTCCCTCGGCCTATAGAGCGAGATGAGCGTGCAACCCCAGAGTCATCCATGACTTGAGCTAATGGTCAGGGGTACCTTTACCTTTTTCATGAAGATCACTGAGCAGATTCCACAGTGTAAGAATAATAATAAAAAAAAACAGTGACTAACAAATGCAATCAAACCCCACATATTACAAACTATGATCAAAATATAGTGCTGGTTAAAACAATTCAGAACCACAAGAGAACTTTACTATGGAAACCTGTAAAAGCCGCCAGATTGGGGATTGATGGCTTCCTTTCAAAGACTGGGGGCAGAATTGGTGTGTGTTTGTGTGTTAACCCTGCCATTTTTTGCTGCTGGAGATTTTGCAAATAAGTTCTCATTCCTCGTAACAAAGACCACAAGTGCATTCTGTTATTCAAGAGCCAGATTGCTCATACATTGGCCTTCACCAACACCTACGGTTTCATCCCATTGGCCTGCCTTCGACATCAGACAATTCCAAACGCTTTAAGAACAGCAAATAGCAAGAGTGCAAAGGCGTAATATGGAGCTCAGCAACATCGTATTAGAAATCTATGGCCAATTTATTTCCCAGAAACAACGATTTGCCTGGTGAGAGACATTTGGGAGGGAGAGAATATCTGTCATACTATTTGTAAGTGAGTTGCATGCCTTCCCATTAACCGTGCAGCACAGCACACTCCAAGATATCAGAAGAACAAGTGCTTTATTTAGCAGTGGATAAAAGGGGGCAGCTCTGATGCTGGCTTGCACAGAACCGATCTGGCAGAGGGCTGAAATATACACACACACACCATAAATCTCACCCACTGAGTCATAGGTCATCAAATGGTTGTGATCAATCTCCTTTGGGACCTCCCCTTCTCTGCCATCTTTTCCATCAAGGATGGTGAAGAGTTTCTTCCCAGCCATGATCCTCTGGAAGCCATTGACTTTGGGGACAGAGAAGTGTTGTCCCTTGAAAGTCTTACCAAGGTCCTTGGGATCAAGACACACTCATTATTCTTCTGTGTAATAATAACTGAACTACTCACGCATGCTGGAAGGTTAGTCGTTATAGAGGTGACCTCCATAGACTTGAGAGGCTTCTCTTGCTCTATGAGCTCAGTTGGTAGAGCGTGTCTCTCTTAATCTCAGGGTCGTGGGTTCAGGCCACACATTGGGCTAAAGATTCCTGCATTGCAGTGGGTTGGACTGGATGACCCTCATGGTCCCTTATAACTGTACGATTCTATGGATCTATGATGGTGTGGGGAGTCTTCTTGCATTTATGGACAACAGGGGCCCACAGCCACATCCACATAAATATAAAGGTAGAGGGACCCCTGACCATTAGGTCCAGTCGCGGATGACTCTGGGCTTGTGGCGCTCATCTCGCTTTATTGGCCGAGGGAGCCGGCGTACAGCTTCCGGGTCATGTGGCCAGCATGACTAAGCCGCTTCTGGCGAACCAGAGCAGCGCACGAAAACACCGTTTACCTTCCCGCCAGAGCGGTACCTATTTATCTACTTGCACTTTGATGTGCTTTCGATCTGCTAGGTTGGCAGGAGCAGGGACCGAGCAACGGGAGTTCACCCCGTCGCGGGGATTCGAAACCGCTGACCTTCTGATCGTCCTAGGCTCTGTGGTTTAACCCACAGCGCCACCCGCGTCCCTCCACGTAAATATAACACGCACCAAAAAGCATCCCAGGCCAGCAAAAGCACCAGAATACGCTCTAAGGAGATTATCTTTAGAAGCGGGCAATTGTCATGTGACTTCATGCACATACTGGACCAGATCCATAGTCTCACCTGCTGCAGAGCCTAATAATGCCAGATCTCCTTTAGCAGTGATAAAAAAAACGGTGAGAGCTGCCTCAAATGCACCTGTCCACTTCGAAAGAAATATGCTTGCCGGGAACAATCCCTGTGGAACACCAGGAAGCCCTGAATGCTTTTTGCCCTGCTCTCTGTCTTGCCAATGCAGTGCCCATGCACCAAGGAGTAAGGTTCTCCTTCTTAATGGGTTAGCTTGCTTTGTCCTGCATGGCTTTGCAAAGCAATGTTTTGTGGAGCAGCCGAAGCAAAAGCTTCTGAACACTTGGACAGCTCCTGGGACTGTTGGTGGAGCCCCAACCCAGTTTGTGCAGCACTTCCCTTGCGCAGCAGACATAGCAGGGGACTTCATGGCTTTTTGCACTTCGGGGGTGGGTGGGTGTGCTTCTGTTTATCCTGAGCTCTTGCATACATTTTGTCTCTCTGCAGCTCTAAGCGCTCACTGCTTCTTCAGCTCGGCAAATGTTGACAGCACAACTGAGGGTCAAGTGAGGGTCTCTTAGCAACCTAGCCCTCAGTGAGTTTCTGAGTTTACTCCACAGACAACAGGATTCACATCAGTCTGCAAAACCACAAGTTTGTGTAATCGCCTTTAAATCTCTGCCACAGAGACCAATGCTTCCCCACCCAATTCCATCTAACCTCTTGTGTCTCTCATAAGTCACACTATTTTCTTTCTTTTCTTTATTTTGGAGCAGAGCAAGCCTCAAATTTGCTGGGAACAACAGACACCTTTTGCTTTTCAGCTTCATCAGTGAACTGAAAGATACTGAAAACCTCCCTGGTGTCTTCTCCAGACACATTCAGCAAAAGGGCAGATTGGAATCTGTCCAAAGACCTGCTCCCACCTTATCCAGTTCTTGGTCACATTGCTCTGAAGCACCAGCTGTCCCAGGGACTCTGTTTGCCCCATAGTCACTGTGCTGGGGTGTCAATGGAGAGCAAGACCAACTCTGACACAATATAATATTCCTAAGTGGCATCAGATATAGAGCTTATCCACAACTCTGTTTGCCTCTATTGGAAACCCGATATTTAGCCCTGAATTGGAATAAATGGCAATTGGGTTCCTTCCCAGAGTGCTATTTGTTCCAGTTCAGTGGCGTAGCGTGGGGGCTGCAGGGGGGCCGGCCGCACCGGGCGCAACATCTGGGGGGGGGTGCAACATCACGGGTTAGAGGGCGCAAATTACTTGCCTTGCCCCGGGTGCTGACAACCCACGCTACGCCACTGTTCCAATTTATCACTAAAGAGTGGGTTTTCTGGGGGAAAGTGGCAGGGCAAAGGCAAAACTGCCTAGAAAGCACAGGGACTAGCAGAAGTGTGGATGAGTTCAAAGTCAGTAAATCATGCTTTGTTATATTAAGTCCAGATATTACATGTGTTGCTCTCAGAAAAACACCCCTCTTTAGTTATTAGCTTTTAAAGAGGTGTCACAAAAGGGCTGCAAAGTGTCAGATATTGAAATTGTTGTGGAGATGTGTTTGTGTGCTTGCCGTTGTGCTGTTTGCTGCTCCACCTCACAGGGACATAGGAAGCTGCCTTAGTCTGAGCCAGCCCATTCGTCCATCCAGCTCAGGATTGTCCCAAACTTTTCCCCTGCCTCACGGACCACTTTAAAAATGCAGAGAGTCTTAGAGGACAGCTTCTGCTTCTTTCAGCAATTGCAGCATGCCGCCCTAGTTGCTATATGACTCTTAATCACATTGATACTGCTTCGCTTATTTTTCATGTTGCCTTTTATTATATTGCAGTTTAAATTCCATACAGTGCCACAATAATAAAACACAAGCACCAAAAGGAAGCAATAACGACGAAGTTAAAAAAATAATGTGAATATTTCACGGACTGCACCTGCCATTCACAGATGCTGCACCTGATGTTCTTCAAATCCAATGGCAACTAACCACGACATTATTATTATTATTGCTCTTCTCTCCATTTGCACCAGGGATGCAGGTGGCACTGTGGGTTAAACCACAGAGCCTGGGACTCGCCGATTAGAAGGTTGGCAGTTCAAATCCCCGCAACGGGGTGAGCTCCTGTTGCTCGGTCCCTGCTCCTGCCCACCTAGCAGTTCGAAAGCACAAAGTGCAAGTAGATAAATAGGTACCGCTCCGGCGGGAAGGTAAACACCTTTTCCGTGCACTGCTCTGGTTCGCCAGAAGCGGCTTAGTCATGCTGGCCACATGACCCGGAAGCTGTAAGCCGGCTCCCTCGGCCAATAAAGCGAGATGAGCACCGCAACCCCATAGTCGTCCACGACTGGACCTAATGGTCAGGGGTCCCTTTACCTTTACCTTACCATTTGCACCAGTTCACTAGTGTGGTGTAGCACTCAGGATGCCAGACTAGGGTTCAAATCCCCACTAAGCCACAATGAAGCTTGTCGTCTTCAGCGACAGCACCATCTAAACCGGGGTTTCCCAAACTCAGGTCTCCAACTGTTTTTTGGACTACAACTCCCATCATCCCTAGCTAGCAGGACCAGTGGTCATGGATGATGGGAATTGTAGTCCAAAAAAAACAGGTGGCGACCCAAGTTTGGGAAACGCTGAGCCTCTCAGGGTTGTTGTTGGAGTTCAGGTAAGGAGGGGGAGAACCAGGCACCTTGAGCTCCTTGGAGGAAAAGGTGGGCTAGAATTTAAACGCCAGAGAATGGATTTAACAATAATTAGAGCCTGTCCTACCACCCAGGCGAAGAGAGCTGATTCGCAGTGTCACGAAAAGGCCAGCAAATTGTTGGTCGCTTAATTGGTCATTGTTGTCTTCTGCGCACTTCGACGCCCTTCAGGAAGGAAGGCGCTTGTGTGACTTAAAAAATTTAACACCCCCCCCACCTCAGGTCGTCACCAAAATAACTTGGTTATATCGCCTTGGGCGCGCATTGGGCTGCCTGCGGTGCTGGCCCTACTCCGAGTAGACCCATTGGAAGGAACGAACCGAACTTGGCCAGGTTTCTGAATCCCAACGCAACTTGAGGTGGTTGAGGCGGGGAGAGGAGGAGAAATTTACGAGTCGCCCGCCTCCCCCCATCCCCCCGCTGCAGCAAAATGGTTTGGGCCAACCCCCTGACCCGAATCCCGAATCCCACTCCTCCGGCGGAACCACTGGAGAGAAAGGGGCTGCAACTTCGGAGCCACGTCGGCGCGCGCGCTGACCCTTGAGGGCGCCAAGAGGCTTCTCCCCTTCCCCCCTCCCTTGGAAAGTGGGCGGGGGGCGGAAGGACCCCTCCCTCCGTCTCTCTCCGCCCCCCTCAGGTATGGAGTTCCTCAGGAAGCGCCTCAGCCCCGCCGCCGCTCGCCGCGGAGCCCGCGCTTTGCGCCCGAAGGAAGGCGCGCGCTGAGACCCGCGTCGTCTCCAGCGGCGGCGAGGGGACTTTCTCTGCCTTTCTCCCAGAGATGCAACCATCGCCCGGGGTCGGCTGAGGCTTCTCTCGCCAGCCCCGCTTCTGGTCGCCGCTACCGCCGCCGTTCCTCGCCGCAGCAGCCGCCTCTCGGAGCCCGGAGGACCATGCGGAGGGAGGCGGGCAAGGAAAAGACGCCTCCGGGGCTCTGGCTGCCGTGGCTGCTGCTCCTCTTTCCCTCCTCCGCCGTGCACGGTGAGTGGCCAGCCCGTTTCGGGAGCATCTGGGGAGCGGGGAAGCCGGGGCACCCCCCCCCCCGCCTCGCCCCTGTCCCATTTGGCTCAGCACTGCCTGCACTGACTGGCAGCGGCTCTCCAGGGTTTCAGGTGTGTGTGTGTGAACACACTTTATAGCGTTACCTGGAGCGGCGGGGATTGAACCCGGGCCCTTCTGCATGCCAAAGGGATGCGCTAACCACTGGGCTAGGGCACTTCGTTCGCTGGGAGGTGCCTTTTCCTTGCCAAAGGCGTTATTTGTCTGAGGTCACTTGTTGTGGCTGGAGTGGTGGGGCAGGGGGCCAATCTAGGTTTGTTTCTGCACAGCCTGCAGCAAAGAATGTTTGTTGGGTTGGATCCGGATGTGCAGTGCAAGTGTTGTTGTTGTTGTTTAGTCGTTTAGTCGTGTCCGACTCTTCGTGACCCCATGGACCAGAGCACGTCAGGCACTCCTGTCTTCCACTGCCTCCCGCAGTTTGGTCAGACTCATGTTTGTAGCTCCGAGAACACTGTCCAGCCATCTCGTCCTCTGTCGTCCCCTTCTCCTTGTGCCCTCCGTCTTTCCCAACATCAGGGTCTTTTCCAGGGAGTCTTCTCTTCTCATGAGGTGGCCAAAGTATTGGAGCCTTAGCTTCAGGATCTGTCCTTCCAGTGAGCACTCAGGGCTGATTTCCTTCAGAATGGATCGGTTTGATCTTCTTGCAGTCCATGGGACTCTCAAGAGTCTCCTCCAGCACCATAATTCAAAAGCATCAATTCTTCGGCGATCAGCCTTCTTTATGGTCCAGCTCTCACTTCCATACTTGCGGTGCAAGTGTAGCCATGCCAATTCCTAAGTAAGTACCAGTTTTCGGTCTGGAAATCAAACCTTATGAGGAGCGGTTGAGGGAGCTGGGTATGTTTAGCCTGGAGAAGAGGAGACTGAGAGGGTGGTATGAGAGCTGTCTTCAGATATCTAGAGGGCCGTCACATGGAAGATGGAGCAAGCTTGTTTTCTCCTGCTCCAGAGGGTAGGACTCCAATCAATGACTTCCAAGTTACAAGAAAGGAAATTCAGGCTCGATGTCAGGAAGAACTCTCTGATGGCAGCTGTTCTACCGTGGAAGGAACTCCCTCGGAAGGCGGTGGGCTGTTCTTTCTTGAAGGTTTCGAAGCAGAGGTGGAATGGCCATCCATCTGTCAGGGATTCTTTACTTGTGATTCCTGCATTGCAGGGGGTTGGACTAGATGACCCTAAGGGTCCCATCCAACTCCACCATTCGATGGTTCTCTGAATTATCTGGAGCATACTCTCGGGCATGTGGGGTTAAGATTGCAGCATTACTCCCTATTAAATGTGCGTTAGGTTTGCAGGGCAAGAAATTCTACACCAGGCTCACTTGTGAGTAAACATCTGTAGGATTGCACTTCCTGGCTGTGTTCACGCACCCTTTGACTGTGCACTCACTGCATTCCCAATGCTGGGTTTTTAATCTGCATTTGTGGGACATTATCCAGAATGCATGTGTATCCTGTACTTTGTTGTAACACGCTAGTGGGGACTGTCCAGCACAGACTGGGATAGGATAATTTGTGTTTTTGGACCAACACACTAAAAATCAGGTGAAGTCACTCCAAAGTCACATTTTGGTCCCACCTCCACCTCAGAAACTCTGGTACCACATTTGGTGACGATATAATGAGCGGTGGTCATACCTATGTATAAAATACGAAGTCACACCACAATTTTGGTTTAAGTGTGGCGTCTTGATACAAAATGGCACCCAGCCAACAAATGACAACAAAGACAACCCCCTTGTGCCAAGTTTGGCAATGAAATCTCAAGAAGCGGCCAAACCTATGCCAAAACAGTTGTGTTTCAGTCCACCCTCCTGGCACCCAACTATCAATGTACCCCCCCACCTCTGGAACCCTTATGCCATGTTTGGTGATGATATCTCAAGAGGTGGCCGAACCTATTCCGGAAAAAAACGAGCAAAATCACGGCAACGTGTTGTTTCGGTCTGCTATCTTGATTCAAAATGGCAGCTAGAATTCAAACACTGATGAAGACCACCTTTGGAAAACCACATGCCAAGGATCTCAAGCGGCACCTGAACACCTGTAGAGAAAAAACGGATAGACAATGTCAAACTATACTGTGGTTTGGATGGGTTGGTTCTCTAACCAGCTTCTTCCCACCAATTGGGAGTCTTTAAGCTGTTCCTAATTCCCTAATTTGTTGCTAGCCAAGGTGTGAAGATCTTTGCATAAAGTAAAGGTACTTTTGCTCCCCCCCGTAACACCTGCTGGTGTAGAAACAAACAGAATGACACTAATGGTGCCCTACTGATGTAAGCAGCTGGCAGTGGCGGACCTTGGGGTCTCAAATTCAGTGGAACTCTGTGACACCAAAATTGGATGCCCCCTCCCTCTCACCTTCCATTCAAAACCATGGTTGTGCACCTCCAAGGCTCTGTGCCCAGGGCGACCAAACCAGTCGCACTCCTCTAAATACGGAGCTGGGGATGGGAGGGAAAGAGCTCTAGAATGCAAGGGAAGAACAAACTTCACTGCTCACAAAGGCAGTAATGTGAACCTTAGCCATGTTCAGAGTACCTCTGCTTAGGGCATTAGTTAGTCATGGAAACAAACCCATATGTTATAGTTATTTTTAAATCTTATTTTATTTCTGTATATAGTAAAAAAAAGAGGAAAGAAATCCTTCTCCTAGGGTAGCGTTGCACAGTATAAAAGTAAAATAGGGATGAGAAATTATCACTGTAATCATCACCGCAGTGTTTACTTAGGAGTAAGTTTCCTTTTGTCTGAGTGAGCCTTACAGTGTGATCATAGCCATGCCTACTCAGAAGTAGGTTCTGTTTAATTCAGCGGGGCATGCACCCAAGCAAGTAAGATTAGGGTTGCAGCCTTACTCCCTAGCATTAAGTGTACATTAGGCTGACAGCCCAAGAGATTTTTACTTTCCTTTTTTTGTCCCACTGATGGGACTCTGTTGATAAGCTTCGGAAGTAAATTGTGGCTGGAGCCAATCCCAGGAGCAAACTGTTCACAGGATGATAGCTTTCCACAGTTATTAATTCAGCTTAATAGTTTTAAACACACACACCTGGGGGAAATGTACTTTTCTTACCTGCCATGGTGAATTTAGTGTTTTGGTGACTGTGCGTGGACTTGCTTGCAAGTAATTGAGGAGAGGTTTGCAGCTTTAGAAGCAAAGGCAGAGCAAGCTGCTGTTGCTCTACAAAAGAGCACTCCCAACCTGCAAAATTCCTGTCTCTACACATCTATCCTCCTTGTCGATTTCATAGTTTGTGTGCCAAAGAGAATTTCAGCCACTGCAAATTTTCTCATCTCTGCACTGCTGCAATGTGACAAGATGTACTGCCAAAATTCACCTTCTGCACAACTGTCAAGGGTTCAGTAGCCCAGCCTCCCTTTTTAATCTGGTTATCTTGAGGAGAGGAGATGCAGGCATAGGCAGAAGAAGGGCTGTATAAGGTTGCCAGCTGTTCGGCAAAAATGACCTGACCTGCTATTGCGCCTTTAACAGCTGCAGAAATGAACAGGGAAAACTGTGTGTGTGTATGTGTGTGTGCGCATAAATATATTCCACCTGCTGACAAATGCGGATCAGACATCCATTAAAGACACAGCTACAGGTGCCGCTTAAGAAGCTGCCAGCCCTACAAGACTTTTAACTTTGATTTTTGGAATGCTGTAGGGGTGCAGCAGATGCTGAGCTTTGGGTTGGCAAGTCGTGGGAGGAAGCTTCATTAGTAAAACCAACTTCTTTCCAAGGGAGGTTTTGCTGAGCCTTTGATACCCAGGGTGTCTGAATGCAGAATAATACAGGACTCCTGTACTTTTTCTTTTTTTAAAAAAGTTTATTTTACACTGATATACATTAAGCTCATATAATATACCATTTACATAAAAATCTATTTATTTATCCTGGCGACTTCCCATTTTTACATCTGTGATGGTCTAATTCTCTTTCCTCCCTGCTGCCTGTCCAACCTTAACTGTTTATCTAAATCCTATATCTTTTCTTGCCATTGCTCATAGGTTTGAAATTTCATTTGGCTGTATTGCATTCTTATATAGACTGAAAAGGTTCTTGGTTCTTCCACATATATTTTGTCTTTCTAATTCCTTATTTTAGCTGTGGGTCATGCCATTTCTAAGTACTCTCGTAGCTTGAGTACCCTTTCCTATTTCATTGGGATTTCTGGTGCTTCCCATTTCTGTGGGTAGAGTACTCTGGCGCTTACCAACTTTTGGGCGGATCTCTCCTCCACGTAGGGACGTGGGTGGCGCTGTGGGTTAAACCACAGAGCCTAGGACTTGCTGATCAGAAGGTCAGTGGTTCGAATCCCTGCGACAGGGTGAGCTCCCATTGCTTGGTCCCTGCTTCTGCCAACCTAGCAGTTCAAAAGCATGTCAAAGTGCAAGTAGATAAATAGGTACCCCTCCGGCGGGAAGGTAAACGGTGTTTCCGTGCGCTGCTCTGGTTTGCCAGAAAGCAGCTTGGTCATGCTGGCCACATGACCTAGAAGCTGTACGCCGGCTCCTTCAGCCAATAAAGTGAGATGAGCACCGCAACCCCAGAGTCGTCCGCGACTGGACCTAATGGTCAGGGGTCCCTTTACCTCTTCCACGTATTCCCAGAAGAAATACTCCTGGCTTTTTGGGTATATCTATTTTGAACATCTTTTCTAGTTCGTTATACATCATCTCGCAGTAATTCTCTGTTACACACATCCACCAGGTATGGAAAAAGGTACCTTCCACCTACATACACTCCCAACACTTATCTGAGACTGTTCTATACATCTTAGCCCACTTGCATGGTGTCAAATACCATAATTTTCCTTAATGGCATAACAAGCAGTGAATTTTCATAGCTTAGTGGAAGAGGGTCACAGGAGGCAGGTGAAGCTTTCAGGCAAGGATGAGAGAAGCTGCAGTTTCTCCCTTGGCTAAAGTAAGGAAGGCACAAAATCCTGATCAGCCTTTACCCTGTTGCACTTTGCATTAGCGAACCAATATTGCAGAGCCCATAGGAAGGAGCCCCAAACTGGCTAGTTTCCTTCTGTGGTGCTGACTGCCAAGGCCACGGAAGTCCCAGCAGTATCTCCCATCTGTGTTTGCTGTGTATTTGGAAGAGCATCCAAAGCAAATCTGAAAGCCTTTATGAGGCCGACTTGCAGGTA